TCCTTTCTTCAAACGGAAGGAACAGAGATAGAATCAAACCGATTCCCGAAATGCCTTTCTGGATATTCCTCAATGTCCCGGCTATTCACGGAACGTGAGAAGCAGATGATTAATCATCTGCTTCCAGAAGAAATCGAAGAATTTCTTGGGAATCCTACAAGATCCGTTCGTTCTTTTTTCTCTGACAGATGGTCAGAATTTCATCTGGGTTCGAATCCTACTGAGAGGTCCACTAGAGATCAGAAATTGTTGAAGAAACAACAAGATCTTTCTTTTCTCAGGCGATCGGAAAATAAAGAAATGGTTAATCTATTCAAGATAATTACGTATTTACAAAATACCGTCTCAATTCATCCTATTTCATCAGATTCGGGATGTGATATGGTTCCGAAGGATGAACCGGATATGGACAGTTCCAACAAGATTTCATTCTTGAACAAAAATCCATTTTTTGATTTATTTCATCTATTCCATGACCGGAACAGGGGAGGATACACGTTACACCACGATTTTGAATCAGAAGAGAGATTTCAAGAACTGGCAGATTTATTCACTCTATCAATAACCGAGCCGGATCTGGTGTATCATAAGAGATTTGCCTTTTCTATTGATTCCTATGGATTGGATCCAAAACAATTCTTGAATGGGGTATTCAACTCCAGGTATGAATGGAAAACGACATCTTTATTGGTTTTATTGGTTCTACTTCCTATTTTTTATGAAGAGAATGAATCTTTTTATCGAAGGATCAGAAAAAAAAGGGTCCGGATCTCCTGCGGGAATGATTTGGAAGAGCCAAAACCAAAAATAGTGGTATTTGCTAGCAACAACATAATGGAGGCCAGCCAATCAATATAGATTGATCCGAAATCTGATTCAAATCCAACATAGCACCCATAGGTACATAAGAAATGTATTGAATCGATTCTTTTTAATGAATAGATCCGATCGCAACTTCAAATATGGAATTCAAAGGGATCAAATAGGAAAGGATACTCTGAATCATAGAACTCTAATGAAATATATGATCAACCAACATTTGAAAAAGAGTCAGAAGAGATGGTCTGAATCATAGAACTCTAATGAAACCCTTCTTATTGGATGATCATGAGACTTGCCAAAAATCTAAATTCTTGATCAATGGAGGAACAATATCACCATTTTCGTTCAATAAGATACCAAAGTGGATGATTGACTCATTCCATACTAGAAATAATCGCAGGAAATCCTTTGATAACACGGATTCCTATTTCTCAATGATATTCCACGATCAATACAATTGGCTGAATCCCGTGAAATCATTTCATAGAAGTTCATTGAGATCTTCTTTTTATAAAGCAAATCAACTTCGATTCTTGAATAATCCACATCACTTCTGCTTCTATTGTAACAAAAGATTCCCCTTTTATGTGGAAAAGGCCCGTATCAATAATTATGATTTTACGTATGGACAATTCCTCAATATCTTGTTCATTCGCAACAAAATATTTTCTTTGTGCGTCGGTAAAAAAAAACATGCTTTTTGGGGGAGAGATACTATTTCAGCAATCGAGTCACAGGTATCTAACATATTCATACCTAAGGCTTTTCCACAAAGTGGTGACGAAACGTATAACTTGTACAAATCTTTCCATTTTCCAAGTCGATCCAATCCATTCGTTCGTAGAGCTATCTACTCGATCGCATACATTTCTGGAACACCTCTAACAGAGGGACAAATAGTCAATTTTGAAAGAACTTATTGTCAACCTCTTTCAGATATGAATCTATCTGATTCAGAAGGGAAGAACTTGTATCAGTATCTCAATTTCAATTCAAACATGGGTTTGATTCACACTCCATGTTATGAGAAATATTTACCATCCGAAAAGAGGAAAAAACGGAGTCTTTGTCTAAAGAAATGCGTTGAGAAAGGGCAGATGTATAGAACTTTTCAACGAGATAGTGCTTATTCAACTCTCTCAAAATGGAATTTATTCCAAACATATATGCCATGGTTCCTTACTTCGACAGGGTACAGATATCTAAAGTTTTTCTTTTTAGATACTTTTTCAGACCTATTGCCGATACTAAGTAGCAGTCAAAAATTTGTATCCATTTTTCATGATATTATGCATGGATCAAATATATCATGGCGAATTCTTCAGAAAAAATTCTGTCTTCCACAAAGGAATCTGATAAGTGAGATTTCGATTGATAAAAAAGAAGAATCTACTTCAACCAATATGCCCTTAGGCACGGCCATACATAACATATAAATCACACTTGGAAAGGGTGGACAATTAGCTAGAGCAGCGGGTGCTGTAGCGAAACTGATTGCAAAAGAAGGGAAATCGGCCACATTAAAATTACCTTCTGGGGAGGTCCGTTTGATATCCAAAAACTGCTCAGCGACAGTCGGACAAGTGGGGAATGTTGGGGTGAACCAGAAAAGTTTGGGTAGAGCCGGATCTAAGCGTTGGCTAGGTAAGCGCCCTGTAGTAAGAGGAGTAGTTATGAA